CCTAGCCTGCAACTTTGTTTCACCTGCTTAGGCTCACTTCCAGCAAGTTGTGGGAAGAACATGCAGTCTCTTGGGTGCAAGGGGAAGTTCTGAGAAAGGCTCTGAGGAACTATCACCACTCACATGACTTATATTTTGTGGAATGCACATGTGCTAGCAGCTTGAATGCAAATGCCTTAAACTTACAGCCCAGCTCACCTCGGGGAAAGCAGCATTCAGATCATGGGAGAGGCTGACTGTGGGTGAAAGTAAGGTCTAGGGCTTCATGAGAAAGCTTTGTCATCTTCAGAGTACAGCTCTTTGTGTTTCTAGTGAAAAGTAGATACCATGTACTTAATTTTAAGCACCTCACTACCACTACCTCTTTAGTTTGTAGTACAGTGCCTTTATCAGGGATCTTTGCTCTGGAAACACCCCAGATTTTTTTTTTTTTTTTCATTTTTGAAAATACCCTTTCCTAATAGCATTTTGTCCCTAGCTCTAGGTAGTTGTTACTATATGGACATGCATGCAGAATGAAGAGGCGAAGCCAGAAGAGGTTTGTCTGTTTGCCAAGATAGCAAGGTCATTTAAAGTTGATATTGGCAGGGAATTAAATTCCTGTTGTTACCAGCGAAAATGCATGTACCCCTGCCTCTCTTAGTGAGTCAAGGACAGAACAGGTTCTGATCAGCTACAGAGACTGTGTCCTCTGGAGCCATGATTTCATAGTTGCTGGATGACAGATACTAAGTTTTATTCAAATACTTATTTGCATATAGGTAAAAACACCAACTTGTTGCAATCATACAATCCTACTGCCTACTAAAATCTCTTGATTCAGTGTTAAGGTTGAACATATTAATATAGCAGTAGGGCAAGATTCCCTTATGCATTGTGGAGATATGCTGGCACAACAATTATTTGTGGGGAGGGGAGTTCCCCCAGAGCAACAACAATAATCTGCCATCTTTGTGCTTTCTGCTTGCTGATACAACACAGAGCAGTGCATCAGACTGGCACCTGGAGCTGCCAGATGTCTCCAATACAGGCTCACCAGTCACCTATCAAATGAAAAGATTAGGACTGGCAGTAAGCAGGTGAACTCCAGATGAAAGGCTGTGCAACAAGAGATAGCAGAGATTTAGGCTCCTGTGAGCAAGAATGACAGAGAAATCACATATTTCAAAAGAGGGTCATATGGCAGTTTGCGTATCTGTTTGCCAAGCTAACTGCATACAAACTAGGATTCTGTGGTTTACATGGATGTATGAAGTTTTGTAGATAGAAGCAAAACATTAGACACTCACATACACAGGTCACCATAAGGCTTCAAATCCTGAAGCCTTTGATCACTGATAGGCAAGAGAGATGATTTGTGTTATGTTTTCCCCGAATCCTGCCCCTAGAGAAACACCCTGGGTTCTAGCAACGTGTGTTTAATTGTTTTTATGCAACAAAGCCCAGCAGTGCCTGGACTCCTCCTCCTGAGCCTAGCAACGTCTGCATCTAGCACCGCAATATTGCTAGAAGGGACACCAATACCTTTGGAACTGCATCTGTTAAAACAGTTAGAGACTACACAATCAGGAGCATCCTTGGCAAACCTCCTTTCCACCTGGCAGAGTAAGTATCAGTTCTCATTTCTGTTAAGAAAAAGACTGCTTAGTAAAGAAAGGTACAAACTACAAAGGTATATAGAGCCCAGTAAGACAAACTAAAACCAGAAAGAATTATATCTGAATTATTCTCAAATATATCTCCCCTTATGTCAAGCCCTGTTTAGTTAGCAAGTTTCCCTCTGATCAAAGAGAAAAACATACATGCTACTGCCAGAGTCATCATACAAGGAGCATGACAGGTAGCCAGTCTAGTATGATTGCATGTTTGATATGCCTACTCAATCCCAGGAAGATTTCAAGTAACTTTCAGTACTTCCCAGATAAATGAAGAAGGCCCATACCTTCTACCGCACTCTACCTCAAAGTCATTTTACCAAACAGATCTGACTGATACTTTAAGGTTAAATTAAACCAAAAACATCGGTTTTAATCACAACTTAAGACATAATACCTACTTTCAAAGTTATGGACCAGATATGTAACTGGTTTGCCTCCACCTTCTGGAGTGTAGGTCATCTCTACCTTTCCAGGACCAGGTACCACAAAATCAGTTGCTCTGTACTGTTAAAGAAAAAAAAAGTCCATGATTATTTTATCTATCAGGACAGAACTTAGGAAGGCAGGATGCAGAAAAGTGTAAACAGTTGTACCAAAAAAACCATTGAGCAGGCTGTGTCTGTTCAGCCATGCAGTCAACAGATTATTTTACTAGAGATTAGAAAGACAAGTAGTCAAGAGTCTGCCTGTTTCAGAAAAGATCTTCCTCTTTAAGGGAAAAAGCTTACAGATTCTTGGGCCCCATCAATTGGCAGAGTAGACATTTTTGCAGATGCACTGAAATTTTAAACTGAAAAGTATCCAGAGTGTTGTGTGGTCTGTGAGTAGAAAGGCTCCTCTCCTTGCCTCAAAAAAACCCATTCATATCACAACTACTGATCTCATGAATAAGGGGGAATCACACAGCACCTTAATCAGCCATTATTTCTACTCATCATATGACATTTGAAAGGCCAATCTGCAGTAAGAGTTCTTTGAATTCTGTAAATGGGTACACATTTTGCTCCTCTGAGCTACACAGACTCAAAAGAGTCAACATGTACTTCCAAGTTTTTAAATGGTGTCTCATCTTCCCAACTGTCCTGAACAGCACTATTTAAGGTTACATCTCCTTGGAATTCATCATCCTTTTTCATGTAGTTTCCCTCCTATTGAGGGAATCTGTTCCCTGAGCTGTTCTGAAGCTACAGAACTGTCTTGCTCGTATGTCCTTTACATGTTCTTGAATTATTCCTTTCACTGTAATCTCATACTTTGGCAGGATTTCAATCATCCCCCTCCTAATCCATTGTTTCCTATTATTATGTTGACCTTCTCAATTATTCAATACCGTTAAGGATGTTGAACCCCATTCTTTTCTAGTGTCAGGGCTCTGCAATTATTTTCCTCTTGGAAATTGGTATTTTACCTTCCCACCCCAGCTAATCTTATGACTTGCCCTCAGTTTGTGGATTTACCCATCTATTTAAGCATTTGGCTCTTCTAGAAGACTCTGCTTTTGTTGTGTTTGGCTGCTTTACAGTGTATCGTTACCCATGGAGAACAGTATGGTTGATTCTTGTCCTCTGGGTTGCTCAAAGGCCATGGAGTGCCATGGTAGGGCTTTCCCTGGCCTTGTACTACCTCTGCCAGGTGAGCTCTGATAAAGGATGCTTCCCTACTTTGCTACAACAACTTGACGCACCCAGTATGAATATCAACCCTGCAGGAGTCCTGTGCAAGTAAGTTTAAGCAGCAAATTACAGTTTAAAAAAAGAACAAAACCACACCCACACACAGAAGGTAACTTTTCCCACTTCTAAAAAAAAAAAAAAAATCACTCAGATCAATTTTTGCTGTGAGCAACATTTGCCACCAAAAAGTCCTTTTGAGAAGTAAGAAAATATTCTTTATGCTGCCTGTCTTCTAAAGACATTGCTATGTAGGGAGGAGGGTTCTGCAGAGGTGAAGAATAACTTGGAGGAGTTATACCTTGTGTTTAGGTACAGACCTACCTAATTGAAGCACAGGCCCCTGAACGCTGTTTATACAGCTACACTGTCTAAGTAAGAGATGCACGAACCAGGCTCTCTCATACTTCACCAGCCACTGTATAAAGTGCTAGCAAGTACCTACTCCCAGGTGGAATGCAAGGGATAAAGCAGCAGCACAGAGATGTCCAAGTCTTTGTAGCCTGTATCAGTCAGGACTAAGTCTGTTCAGATAAAGAGAGGTAAGCACTGAAGTGACTCACTTGATCCCCATAAGCATGACGGCCAATGACAATGGGTTTCACCCATCCAGACACCAGCCGGGGAATGTTCTTGCAGATAATAGCCTCCCTGAAGACAGTGCCACCTAGGATGTTTCTAATTGTCCCATTGGGAGACTTCCACATCTGCTTCAACTTGAACTCCTCCACTCTTTTCTCATCAGGAGTAATGGTTGCACACTTTATGCCAACGTTGTATTTCTTTATGGCTTCAGCAGCTTCCACAGTTACTTTATCACTTGTAGCATCACGATGCTCAATGCCCAAGTCATAGCTGTAAGAAACCCACAAAGATGGTCAGAACTGCCCAGGACATTTGTTCATGTCCAACAGGAAAGAAACCAGAACCCATATGTGCCTGTGAGCATAGTTCCAGCACTCTGCTGTTAAGTTATTCCTCTTCCAGTGCAAATACTCCTGGACTGGAAGAAAACATAGGGTCATATACAGATACTTCTGCTGCTGGTAGGAGGTTGGAGAAAGGACAGTTTATGGCTGAGGTCCTCTGCCAGCGTAGGACATAGCTAATATCTCCTTTGCTTTCCTGCCTGAGCTTCCTGCGATGGAAGCTTTCAGTCTGGGATTCTAATGATATGGAGCAGCATAATCCCCAGATGAATATGGGTCTTCATTTCAAACCTCTTGTTCTGAGGGTTCTGGCTTCCTCCATGTCATGAGCATATGAAGCTACACTAGGCTTAAAAAGTGCTTTGACAATGGACCCACAATCCTGCTCTGGCAGCAAAACTGCCACTATTCCCCTCAAACAGTCAGGGGAAGTACTTTTCCCACACTCACTGTTTTAATAGCTTTTGGAGAACAACGGGTGCCCAGCATGGGATAGCCCTGAAGCATAGCCAGCTGTACATGAATCTAGCCATTGTGCTTCCTCAGCCAGGGGCCTGCTTTCCCTCCTCCCACCCCTCTTTGAAAAAAGGATGTTCTCCAGACCGTGTGCATGTATTATGCTGCTTGGTTCCCATTTGCTTGGTTCTGAACACCAACAAGCAGAAAGCCTGATGTAGGTGGCGTACAGATGACTTCAGGAACAGGGGAAGAGGTCAGACTTGTGGGTTTAATAATGGCAGATACCAGTGAAGACCTCTGTCCACATGGCTAGGAGCAATGCAGGTGGATATTTCTCTAATAATTACAGCTCAGTGGCTAGAAAGGGAAGAGATTATTTGTTCTGCTTGACCAGATGCTGTGGATGGCATGTCCCTTTTGCCATACCAGCTGCTAGTATTTGTTTTTTCCAGAAGGTAGTGTAGGAGCACAGCCTAGGCTCAGGGAATAATTGCAACAGTTAACTCACACTGTCAGCAGCAGAGTTCAAGCTTACAGACATCAGGGCAGAGTCTGTGCCCTACAACCACCCATTTGACCTCTGGGCAGATCTTCAAACAGAGATGGGAAGAAGCCATAAACCTACTCAGAGTCCAGAGATGCTAGGCTTCGTCAGGGAGTGACTGAAACACCCCACATTTCTAAGTGGATTAGGCTGCAAGAAGCCATGCAGACTGCCCAGGTGCTGGAAAGCCAGGACGGAGGAGATAAAAATTCAGACCATGTCTGTGAGAGACCTTCTTAGAGGCACAGTATAGAAAAAAAAAGCTAACTCACAATTAAGCTTTCACTGCTTACTGCTGTGAGGAACCTCAGAGGGGCTGCCAGACTTTGACAAAATACCTTCACCATGAGCCCATGCTTTCCAGAGCACTTAGTGATGTTGGCCCTTAAGCTAACCAGGGGAGTCTGCTGGGAATTTACCAGTATAAAACAGGCTAGTTAGCCTCTTTGCACTAGTGCAGGAAGAGCTATAAGGCTCTTAGCGCTAAGGGAAACATGATCAATGCCTAACGGCACAGGCAAATTGCAAGACAGAGTGGCTGTGTGTCAAAGATCCATTACCTGTGCAAATCCAGATCTACATAAGGAAAAATCAGCTTTTCTTTAATCAGTTCCCAGATGACCCGTGTCATTTCATCTCCTTGCATCTCCACCACAGAGCCTCCACGGATTTTTTTAGACATCTTGAGCTGCAACAGATATAAAAACCACCAACCTAAGTTAAAAACTGCCAAAACACATCACCAATACATGTATTCTGCATTTTTACAACACAACTGTAACAGAGGCACTAACAAAGCATACAGCATCTCTCCTAAAAGTCTTTAGAATAACCACAGTTTATCCCTAGTTTCATGCTAACTGGTATTTTTCTTAAAGCCCCAGCTCCTTGGGAGATCTATTCAAGGATAAAAATAAAGGTTAATATCCGAGTTTTAAGGGGTGTGTTCTAAGTGCATGAGCTTTAATTATAGTTGTACAAAAGAATTTGAAAGCATGACCAAACTCTTCCCCCAAATTGCACAGAAAGAGATGAGTGCTGTTCTAGATTTCATGAGTTCTAGTCCAGTTCCCTGTTTCTCCCCCTTTTTCTGAAAAATGGGTGTTAATGGACATTATTTTAATGACAGCTCATATTGCTAGCACTATTAAGATTAATACACTGCCAGCTTCTTTATTAGCTTCCTTCCCCAGGAAGGCAGGAAACAGGCACAGAAGTCTGAGGGCCACATCAAGAGTACTTTCTTGTGGCAAGCTTTATTTCTGCTGTTAAAATAAATACGGGACAGATTTGTTTTCTGTACGGAACAGAGGTTTCCCCAAGATATTTCTTCACAAGGCCTCAAAAAATAAACCTGAACTCTGCCCTTCTATTTGCACTTTGTTCGTTTACAAAACCCAACCCCACAAGCCACTGAACTGCCCTAACACAGTGCCCTGCTTCCTAACAGCTACAGTTTCTCAGTTCTCAGCTCTGATTATGCAAGAGCTATGACTTGGCAAGTTCTTCCTCGCAAGACAGCCTCGTTCTTGTATGTAGCTGTTCAGATACTACAGTGAGATACCAAGTCCTTGTGCCTGAGGTTGCAGTCTCACAGATACCAAGGTCCATGAATGGCTTTATCCAGAATGAGGAGTCGTACTGTACACAGGGTCTATTCATCTAGATGAAGTTATTCAGAGGTGTGAGGTTTGCAATGCAAAGGCCCCAGGTTACAAGCACATGGGAAGACTGCTCCCTGGTTTATTTTATTTTATTTCCGTTAAACTAACTTGTGCTGTATTTCCAAAATCCAATCCATTAAATATTTTTAGTCTGGGAAGAGAATAAACTTTCTAAGCTATGTTCTAGCTACTGCATCAAGCTTTTACAAACTTTAAAGAACAAAGATTAAAAAAAAAAATAAAATGAGGTTGTGAGTTACTAAGACTATTTACTATGAGCACATAAACTTGAAAAATTAACTAGTCTGATGCTCTCCCATCCCAAAGGAAGATAATATCTTGGCTTATATTAGGCCTCTCTAGTCTTCATGGAAAACTTTAACTTCACATAGCCACACTCTGTCTGAACTCAGTTTATTTATGCAAGTATTTTGAACCCAATTTTCAATTGTGACTATGTAAACAAGGACTGCATCAACAGTCCCATGGCCTAGGCACAGGATTACCTCTCAGGAGACTTCAGTTTTGCTTTTGGCACTTACAGAGTCTGAGAAACAGTCTGATTCGCTTAAGCCAAAATGTACACAGACACCCACCCACCATCACTTGTTTTGTGGTTTGGTCCCTACTTAAATAAGACAAATCAGATTATGTCAGTCATAGCAATAGGTTTTGCAAAGCTGGCTTCAGACTTATATGGTGCTGCTGTCACAAGGGGAACACAAAGGTACATGAGATGCACCTCCACTGGTATGTGGAAACAGCAGCTTCTTACCCAACTCTGACAGCATCCTACATGTTTATCTGATCATGGTCCAAGTACTTTTCCCCTCTTCAAACGCTGATGTCCCCAGTTTCCCTAGGTACAGAGGCCGTACTGCAGTAGCATCCCTCCTCTGTGCACCAGAGCCAAGATGCCAAGCGGTTCCTCTAGACAGCACACATTCCCCCGAGTTCAACTCTTTCTGTCACTCTTCCCTTTTGATTTTATACTACCCAGAACTGCCAAAAGTCAGCATGGTCTTTCTCCTACAGCAGCTCTTCTTTAAACACACTTAACCCAGGCATTTAGCCACGGCAGCTTAGAAGAAACTTTGCACATTTCCAAATACTCCTTGGTACTCAGGAAGGACTCAGGGCCTACAGTCAATAATTAACTATTGCAACAACTCCTTAATTCAGGTTTACAGAAGATCTCCTCAGATCAGGCGCGCTCCCAGGGAGAGCGGCACAGATGGTTGTCACTAACCGAGATCTTGCCGGCACTTGTTTTTCGGCTGC